TGTTTTTGTGCATGCGTTAAAATTAAGCCCTACCCCCAAAACGTGGCCCTATTTAAGCGCATGCACGGTCAGTCTTGCTGGAGTGGATGATGGCAGGCTTTTTTCAGGTGGACAGCTACTGGTACCTGGAGTGACTGTTACAGTTAGGCAAGGGTGCACAATGTGAGGTGCTCGCTCTTTTTGACTGTAAAAGAAGCGGGGCCCGGTGGCCAGGCGAGGCACCTGGGTTGCTCCTTTTGGCCGCGAAAGAAGAGGCCCAGTGGCCAAGTGAGGCGTGTGTGTGTGGGGAAATTAAGACAGTCCTCAAAAAGGCCTAGTCTTTTTTTGGGGATCAAAAGAAAATAAGACCCGCTCATATCTTCGAAGGAACATGGTAGCTAAACCAAACTCTACATGTGAGTTAATTTCCTTTGTGACCTAGCCTTATGTTAATATCACCTGAAAAATAACCCTAATATATAATTGCAGATCAGGTCCACAAAAATCCGTAAGTGGCAGCAAGAATTTTCAGTTGTCTGCTAGCCCTCTCCTTGGAAACCTAGAAATTCCTGTTTTTCTTTTGCTTGACATACAGTGTCTGATGACAAGAGAAGTTTTGACAATGCTATAAAGTCCAGGGAACTACTCTAAACTGAACTGGTAAATTAATATCAAAATATTTATATTTTATATTAATTTCTTCTTTAAAAAGAGCTCATTTTTGACATGTATCTTTTTAAATAAATAAATTGGAAATTGAAACTGATAGTTCCCCCCCCCCAACTTAAGAAACAGTCTAACATGTATACCAGGTTGCTCAGCTGATGCACTGATATGATTCTTATAGATTAAAAGAAACTGCTGAAGAGGTCTACCCTTCCATATGGGTGTAATTGTAAGTTTAGAGTATAATGTNGATAGATAGATAGATAGATAGATAGATAGATAGATAGATAGATAGATAGATAGATGGTTTTACTCACAAAATTCAAATATACATTACATCAATTACGAAAAGGTATCCATGGACCTTTAAAAGAGTTTAATCTACTAGATATGCAGTTTTTATTGCAAGAATATGCAGTACTTTGTACTGGACTGGTCTGTTTATCTCGAGGGCAAAGTTCTGGGGAAGGAGTTCCATCCACCGCAAAGCAATTTTTTTTGCTTTGTCTTGGGGGAAAAAACAGCAGTACAATCTGTTTCTTGTTTCTCATCCAAGAGTTATACTATTATCTTCACTGAACTCCTGCTAGTTAGCTGATAAGGCAAAAGAATTGGAAATGATCCACAAATCGCTTACAAAAGTGAGCATGAAAATCCATCAGCAAAGAAAGTGTTAAATTATTCCACTTTCTCTTCTGAAACTGACAGTGTCTCAGCTGTTAGAAACGGATCTGCTCTTGCAACTATAGTGCATCTACATCAGAGGTGGTATTCAGCAGGTTCTGACCAGTTATGGAGAACTAGCAGTGGACATTTTGAGTAGTTTCGAGAACCAGTAAATACCACCTCTGACTGGCGCATCTATTCTTTGCCTCCTGAGTCCCAGCTGATCAAGAAGAAATGGGAATTTTGCAGTAACCTTCCCCTGAAGTGGGGAGAGAATGGAGATTTTACAGTATCCTTCCCCTGCCACACCCACCAAGCCACATCCAAAGAACCAGTAGTAAAATTTTTTGCCATTTCCGTGATGCAACCTGTCAGTGTTGCAAGCGAAAGGGACACATCGCCAAGGTGTGTCAGAGCGAATTACTTGCCACCACCTGGCAGCCTAAAAGTGCACCAAGCCGCTAACAGAAGCCCAACCCAGGGGCCTGGCAGAAGCCACCACGGCGCTCAAAGGGTGACAATAGAATCACCTACCATACGTCAATAGGACAAGTCCGCTCCAGGCGGCCAAAAAAGCTGAAGGTCACAGTCCTCATCGAGGACTCTCCATGTGAGATGGAGATCGACACTGGGTCATCATTGACCATCATACCATGGTCGACTCCAAAGCAGGCTATCCCTAGCCTACAGAAGCAGCACCTACGCACCCCTGACATCCACCTACGTGATTACCAGGGAAACCGTGTCCCCATCGTGGGCCAATGCACCTTCCAGGTGAATTTCAAGCAATTCAGCGGGAAACTCCCCATGACAGTGGTCACTATCTTTAAGGAGTTCAAGAACGTCTTCAACACCAGTCTGGTTAAGTATGTGGGGACTCCAATCTCCTTTAGTTTGGACCCCAACATAGCCCCAATTAGGCTAAAACCCAGGAGAGTGCCTTTTGCTCTCCGCCCCA